GAATTGTTGTATCTATAAAAAATATAAAAGTTTTTAATGTTTTCCATTTTTGTAATTTTTTTTTCTTTCCTTCAAATATTCTTTCTTTTCGTCAACGAAAAGTTCAACGTCTTCGCAAACAGCGAGTGCAATTTCATTCTAATTAATGCGTCAGCGTCAGTTTAACCTTGAACGCGTTTAATAACACACAAAAATCACACACCCTCCATTGCATATCTACTATACTTACATACATATGTGTGTAAATGTACCACCTATGCAGCTACTTGTAGTGCAAGCGGCGAACGCATTTGCGCTGCTACTCGGTATCAAATAGACGAATTAAACAAAAAATCATACTAATATCTACACACACACACATTCATGCACTCAGTTAGCACCTGCACATACATACATATGTGCTTAAAATTTCGTGTATTTTCGTGAACGAGTGCGCGAATGACACTTGCTTGCAGTGCAGCAATAAAATGGCAGCCAATCCGATTTGGCGTTAGACAGCGGCGCGCTTTTATGTGGCATAGCAGCAGTTCCTTAATTATATTTCGGTGATTTGGCTACGTTTTTTTTTCGTAATGTAAATTTTGCCGAAATATTTTTAGAAATCGCTTTTATTTTGCTGCGCTTTTCTAAACGCTGTACTTTTAAATGCGCGAAATTTGTATTTTCGCACATTTCTGTGATGTGTCAGGTAGAGACGTTGTCGAGTGCGTTACTTATTTGAATTCAGCGACTTTTTGCATTTTTGTTTGGAAATTGCCAATCAACAAGTTGGTTGAACTTTCAGGGACGTATTTTAGTTTTATTTGCAATTTTAGTTAATTTAGTATTTTTTTATTCTAGAAAGGAAGGTGTTGTGAAATTTTGGTTGCTGTTGATTAGAATATTGCTAATGGCTTATTTTAAGGGGTTATATGTGCTTGTGAATTTCAAGAAATCATCTTTTTTGGCTTTTGTATGGAATATATGTAGAGTTGAGAATGTTCTCCGAAAATTTAAAATTGACGCGGCAAATGTTTTCAAAGATATGAGCTTATTTGTAAGGACTTTATAATTTAGCGTAATCGGCTGCCAGAACTTTAAATGCCCTTTCTCTCGAAAGGCTGTTTTACGCGTCGGTGAATGAATAATTAGATCTGGGGTAAATTTTCAATGCTCACATATTGGCTAATTTGAAAACACGAAATCTGAATCTGATACTGAACTTGTGAACGCTTTTATATATGGCTTTTATGCTCTACGGTCTGCTGTTGTGTTTGTCGTTTTTCCCCAGCAGCTGCTGGTATTCTAAATCACACATAACGGCCTCGTACTTGGCCTACTCTTCGTCGTTTTTTTTTTGTTATTTGTGATTGGTTTTAATTTTATTTAATGCGCACATGACAAATACTTGCATATGGATTAGAATTAAACCGGTTGCCTTGGCTCAACAGCTGTGTTGATGCTAGTTGTATTCTCAACAAAATCTTAGGCTGACTATCATTTGCCGTTAGTAAGGCGAAGGTTTCTAGCCAAGTTAAAAATAGTTGATATAATTTGTGACTTAAAAAGCTAGCTGTTTATTAGTACCATAGTTCAGCTCGTTTGCATGCATAAGTGTGTATAATTTTAAGTTAAGAATTGTTATTCGATTTTTTGAATATTTATGTAGAAAAATATATAGTGAAAATCGAAAAATCAATAATGCAAAATATTTGGTTTAGTCGAAAGAAATAAATAAAATAAAATAAAATAATAAAAAATTTTAATTGATTGACTTTGCGGATTTTT